AAATATAAATAGGAACTCTCCCACATTATGCCTACTAATAATTTTGAAGTACGCATAAATAATAAGAAAAAACAAAATCAAAGCACAAAAATTACCTGATGCTCCTCAGGCTCTCGAACAACTCAAGGGAGTATACATTGTCATCGTCGGCAAAATACACGATCCCATCAAGCTTATGGTGCCCCATATGCTCCAAAGCCGCATTCCTCTGGTGCACTCCTCTGTCCTTGACAATGCTTGAATTAACTGTAGTCACCAAATGCCTATACATAACACCCGTCTTCCTCAGTATCTCTGCCGTCTCAAAAGACGCTGCTTTCTCCTCCACCACTATCCATAGCAGAGGAGGCTTCACCAATCTCAGCAGTTGCCCTAACCTGTTCAAAAAATACGCTTGAAACGCCCGATTATACGTTGGCGTCACTATAATTAACAGCTTTTCGGGCTCTAATTCACTAATCTGATCCTCTAATTTCTTATCGATCCCCAAAGCAACATAATTATCGTTCGCTTGCACAATAGCAAGAGGCGGTTTTAGGTCGGGAAAACTCTCGATGTTTCCAAACGGAATAATTCCTAAGAAAAACCCTAGAATGAAGAAGAGGAGACACCGGTAGAAGGATCTCCGCCATCCTCTGCGCCAGAGCAGAGTCTGCACGCCGAATAACGGTAAATGCGGAGAGGATTGGTATTTACCATTACCGTTTTGTAAATGCCTCTGAGATGCCGGCGTGAAGGAGGAAGAGACGGCGGCCTCGTTGTGGTAGAGACGTTCGTGACGCGCCGGCGAAAGAGTTCGGCGGATCGAGGCCATCTGATTGGCGCGAACTGTTACATGATCAGGAGTAACGACAGCGACAATTAACCGAATCAAACGGAAACTTCTTGAAGATTGCGCTGGATTAGACGTACCAGAATTCCCCGGGGCGATTCGGAGCGGCGGAGGCGGCCGAGATCTAGAGCTTTTGAGTTTTGGTGGGTGATTTTACCGCGGAGGTGTCAGCGGACCTGTGTTTGTTTATTTTTTCTAAGTTACGCGTTGTGGTGCAAGTGACAGTCGACGCGTGGCGAGTCCAACGTTAAAGCCCATTTAGGCCAAGCCCAACTTCTGTCTTCTCAGTTCTCAAAGATAGGTTCAAGCCCGGTTCGGCCTTCCAGTTCATGGGCTGAGATTGATTTTGGGTTTCCCCATAGCAGGCCTAGTCCCGATTAGTTTTCCTCTATCGTCCTTCTAATGGGCTATGGCCCTGGTCAATGCTTAACATTTGTCTCTTTTTTTAAGCTCACGTTTATGGTTCATTTTCCTTCCGTTAATTATTAACTTTTGTTGATATATTAGATAATAAATTATATAATAAAAAATAATTTCCATATTTCCTTAATCTCTCCCAACCCGTCTCAAGGTTAGAATTGAAAATCTCTAAAATCTCATGATCTTAACCACTTCATACATCCCTTGGAGGCCATTTTATTAAATTACCATTTTATGTTAGTTACACTGCTTCTTTTTTTTTGGTGGGGGGGGCTAGATTGCATTTCAGTTATTAATGACTTTTCTTTTAAAAAATCTCCAATGAGTTAGTTAGGATACTTATATATGTTCACAAATCTGTTCTTTAAAATTACTTACTGTGAAATTCTAATGGAATATGGTATTACAGATGTGATAGCTACATTTATGCTATTATTGTTACTAGGCAAGATGTTGTCATCGTCACGCCGCATAGTGACAATAGATATTAGGACGATATGTCCATTTACCTCTGTACTTGGACCAATTAATGACTTCGGAATCAATAGAGACTTCTAGATGAAAAGTGACCTCAGCCTTACCCATATCATCTTCTGTGTTATAGCCTTTTCAATCCTTGAGGACAAAGAATTCTAGTCCAATATCTAAAGATGAAAAAACTCACAAAATAAACGGGTGTAATCCAGATGCCAAGCTGCACTAGGAAGAGCCTTGTCCAACATGCTTTTGTTTTTCTCTCAAATTCTTCCACTCAGACAACAACAGCTTGGATTCATTGTCTAGACACAACAATACTGTTGTTTGATCAATGTAACTACTTTAATTGGACTCTCTAGAAGTTTATGCATATATGAGGAAAATAGTTTGTATAAACTCAGTTAATATATTTTTTAACACTCATCTTAGTTTAATTATTAAAATATAATATAAATATAATTAATTTAATTGATTTCTACATCATGTATATGTTACACCTTTAAATTTGTTTTTAATTTCAAATAAAATAATAATAATTTTTTAATAAATATATTATGCAGTGTATTAAATCAAAATGTACAGTAATCAGTGTTCTCCATCTAAACCTTAGTTTCTTCTATTGTAATATATATGGATCACTCTTATTACATTCTTAGCTAGGTAATTAATTAGGAAATGTCGAAACAAAAACGGCATTCTAATTAAACAAACAATTAATCTTGTTAATAATTAGCCTCCTGTAGTTTGTGGGGAGGATATATGAATTTGTGAAACTCTGAACAGAAAGTTAACAGTCAAAGAAATTAAATGCAAATAAAGAAAATGCACGTCTCATATCACATTCATTACTTCAACAGAATTCTTGACTTCTAAGCTAGAAAGTTGGACTTGGAATTGTTAACTAAATGTAATGTAAGTGGTCGATTTGCGATGAGGGTGAGGGTGAGGGCGTGCTTCTGTATAATCATTATCAAGACTAATGCACTATCAAAGACCGAATTCAAAAAGATAAAGCAATTCTTCAAGGAAACCAAAAACAAGTTGTGTCAAATGACTCAAATATATAGATTATAGAGTACCTTGTGACTTTATGTTGTTATGGCATAATAACGATATATATTACGACAGTATATCTCCAACGTCAACCTAATGGGATGATTATGGGATTTCTAAATTAATAGAGGATTGGGTTTAAAACTTTAGGCCATATGAATGCAGTCTTTGTTGTATAATTCATATTCAAATAAGATATGGATAGATATGGATTACAAAGCATGCTTCTCTAATAAACATTAATTGTATGTTCAGATTGAGAGGAAGAAAAAATAATTTTTTATGTAGTTATTAAAAAATTAGTAAAGAAAGAAATGAAAGAATTATTTTATTTTATTTTTTTTAATTTAGTTATTTATATAAATGAAGAGAATGAAAAGGAATAGAAGGATATAATTCTTCTTCTATCTCTTGTATTCCTCTCAATCCAAATATAAGATAATAAAAGATCATACATAACCAAAATCATTTTTCTTTTTCTTTTTGTTTTTTTCTTTTCAGAATTGGCATGAGCCTATATATATAATAATTAAATAAAATAATAATTAACTTTAAAATATTAAGAGATACATGTAAAGTAATATGAGTTAAGAGATATTTTGACAGTTAAACTTAAAAAAGAAAAAGTTAACCGGCATACCCCTGCAAACCGGCCCCCCAAA